CTAAGTCCATAGAGCACATATGAACCTGATGAGCGAATTTCAACAATTTCTCAGCAATCTGACAATGAGCGAAAATCTGGTCAAATGTGCTTCGGCCGTACCGCAAGCCATAATGCTATGCTTGCACTTTTGAGCCAGTTATTCTGCGGCACCTCCCACCTGGCACCTTTGCGTAGAACTCAACCGGGAGGCTCAATAAATTAGTGCCTAATAATTGGAGCACTCCATTCTTGAAAAGGAGGTGGTGTATAACAGTTTCCATTCTCAAGTCCGTTGGCTTCTTTCCCGTAGCCATTGCAGTTTCACAAACAGTGTAAGTCAGCACATGCTCTGTATGCCTAAAGCTTTAAGCATTTCAGGGCGGATTTCTTCATTTCCACTTTTCAAGCTTTTCGATTTAATCATCAAAAATACTAATATCCATTTAATGTTCCCCTACAGGCCGCTTCCTGCGGTTGATGAGTTAGGCTTTAGCCTGTTGCAGCTTCGGTCCGAGTTTTACCATCTTTACGATGACAAGCTTCATATCGATGATTCTATCTGCTTGGCTGGGTTCCTCCAGAACAACAAACACCGGTCTCAGCGCCCGTCGTGATATCAACACCTGAGTAGAGTAGCTATCACCTGCAGAGGTTCAGGATTTCAGAGCCTTGGCGCTTTTTTGACGAGAGTCCAACTATGTCGAGTTGGTACCATATAGCCTCATCAACTAACTCTTGGTCTTTCCCTCTGAGTGAGGTTGTATCCCAATTCCGCTCCCTTGTTCCTAATTCTGTCATTAAGGCATGCCACGGCTCCATGGTGGTTGAGGACCTTCAGTACTTCATTTTGTCTCCGCAAAATCACCTTGCATTCACTCTCTCACTTATCGATACTGCTTATGCGCTACCTTAAACATATCACAGTATGCTCGGATCTAAGAGTATATCTGATGACGCATAAATTATATATCCCTATAGGCAAAATAACGAATAACTTCTCCAAAGCCAGGTTTCACTGCATATTTTATCAACCCGATTACTCCTAGTGGAGCCATTTAGATATCCCCTAAGCAACTAAGAGCAATGGTTGGTGCAATGTACCATAAGATCTTGTTTTGGAGGAGTCGTTCGGCATTTCACATATACAAGCGTGCAAACAACTTACGATATCCTTATAGGTAATATAGGAGTACCAGCTTCTAAACCATTGCTCATAACGAGCGTAAGACGGCTTTAGCAAACAAAATGGTAAGTGATGCATTTGCCACTGCAAGTTCTCAAATATGCTTCAATCATAGCCTGCTTGAACTGTCTCTTGAGCAACTTGGAGCAACGAGGCGGTAGCACACGTGATTAAATTTGCACTTGGAAGTATTATGCGCTATTAAACTACGAACATACTATGATGTTTATGCGATAGCGAACAAACATGTCATGTTCAATGAACATCCTACCCTTTACGAAGTAAGCAAAAACAAGAAGTCTGTTAAACAAAGCTGTTCGAACCACATAGCTAAGTTTACTATCACTGGTGAACCTGACGATCTTACTTGCAGCAGTTGGTAATGTAGCATCATACTTGGTATTATGCTATACTTTGCGGGTTTTACCACAACGAACCCCATTGTAAATTAAAATTTCAACATCATTTTCAGCCTCAAACCATGAATCAGCGAACAGATAAAATATTGTTTGTGACAGTCATTGAATGACAGTTCATTATACAATCAGGGACTGAATACAGCAGAATGAGTTCGCAGTAACGAAAATGATGAGTAGCAGGATTAACAATACGGCAGTTCAGTTCAGTGTTTGAAGCAGGCCGAAGGATAACACTTCGACACGTCTGATCGAGTATCTCGGAGGATGGCCAACAAAGTTTTGTTTCATAGCGCTATCCAAAGAAAAATGGCGAAGACGATGAAATAAGGACTACGTTAAAACCGCGGTACGTAAACCGTAGTACCCCTTTATACAGATTGATCAGTGGATGTGCGTTCGAGTGGCGAAGACCGAAACAGCTGGCAACTGCGGCTAAACTGTTGCGATTAGTTGGGTCATCAGAGAAGAACACTTTGAGTGACGTCGACCGTTTGGCTTTTGAAGGTATCTTTATTTCAGACAGGTGCTCAACGCCGGAGCAGCCTTTTACGTCCCATAACATAGCTTCTGAGATTACTGTGCTGAGGTTTCGATCATAACTGTCTTCTTTAAGTAAACTTGGATGGTCAATGACCACATTCTTGTTCCTAAAATGAGTCAAAATTAAAAAATTAAGAATCATGATTAATAATGAGCATTTGATAATAACTAATAGTATGTAGCAAGTCTATGTAGCAAAATACATAATTAATAATAACCCTTTTAATGGATGGGACTATGCCTGTTATTTCTAGCCTTTTTTCTTACTGCTACTATGGCGTACTTCAACTTTTCGCCGTTCACTGAGGAGCATGCACATGACGAGTACATAAGTGCAGCAAATTTCTCCATTATGATCCTGATTATGAATATTTCAACGTTGTCAGAAAATTTGATTTGCCATTAGAAAATTCAACTCAGTGTTTGCTTTCAACCCATTGAATTAGAAAGTTCATTTAGAAGAGTCCTCAAATTCCACTGCC